GGAACACACTCCCGATAGCCAAGGACAAACTAACTCCATTAAAAGGAGCGGGAGTCTATCGACTATCGTGTAGTTGTGGGAAGGTTTATGTTGGCCAAACTGGACGCAACGTCGAGTGCCGCATCAAGGAGCATGAGAGGGATGTAAGGCTGAAGAAGATCCAGCAGTCGGCGGTTGCGGAACATTGCCATGCAGAGGGGCACCGAATAGACTTCGAACAAACAAAGGTGCTGGCTAGGGACAACAGATACTACCAAAGACTGACAAGAGAAGCCATAGAGATCCACCGACATAAAAATAACGTCAACAGAGAGGATGGCTGGGAGCTTAGCAGAACATGGAAGATGGTGGTGAACACGAAGACCTCTTCCCGCCTCACACCGGACGCGACGCAATTAGTTATTAATTAGTTTGTAATTAGCGTTAACTGATTATTAATTAGTTTTTCCGACTTATATATAGTTACCGATTTTTTGATCTCGTCACTTCGAACCAGTTTCTGAAGAAGGTTGCAACATGGCATCCGAAACGTCAAACCTTTTATTAAAAGACGCACGGCAAAACCCGAAAGTTTCTAGTTTTAGTTCTAATCTTAGTTTAATTGACTACGATGCAAGTCAAATTGAATTGATCAGCAAGCGACCTCGGTTTTTATTGTCCTAGATGTAGGTTATTAAGTTCGTGGATTTAAAGTCTTGATTTTCCAAGAAAACAATTACCCACAATCATAACTAACAAATTATAAGCTGACATAATTAATATCGTAAAAAAATAAGTACATTTTCCAATCATCATCGATAAAAAAAAGTTTGTACAAGAAAAAGCAAGCAAGTAAAAAAGTGTTAAGTAAATGCTTGAAGCGTACATGAGTTTTTTCACTTCGTAGGCAAGATGATAGCCGGCATAGCCTCCGGGTTCCTGTTCTGTGCCTCTGAAAATTTATATTAACGTCTTCTTTTTCCAACTTTTTTATAAACACTTATTTTGCAATTTAATTAATTTCGTTTGAGATAAAATAAATAAAATTTTATTTGGAAATTTTCAAAATTCTCTTTAAGAATTTTGTTACCTATTATAACCAGGAGAAACGGCATTCTCTGTAGTATTCCTGTTCACCGTTGGTTTCACTTTATTAACTTGTTTCGTCGAATTTACCATGTTTGCGTTAGGAACTGCGTTATTTCTCGGAGTATGATTTCTATGAGTCACTAAAATAAACATTATCATCAAAATAATAATAAATTAGAATCAACTCACTTTGTATATCTTCTTGAACTCTGTTATTAGCATCACCTAAAATTAAGAAAATTATTTTAACCGAATTTTTTATTTAATTATGTAAAGTATGGTGTTTAATTGTGGTTTTGTGTATTTTAAGGTGTTTTAATTCTAACACAACATCCAAACTAATTGAGATATATGTTTTAATAATCTATAATACCTCTTATATGAACTTTCTTTGGAATTTCGGGCGGAGTAAAAGTTGGGGGTGGATGATGATCATCTGCAAAATTCCATTAAAAACACATCGAGCAAATGGTATATACACAAAAATCTAATCATCACTAAAATTTTTATTTCTAAAAAATATCTTCGATTTAAATTAATTTAATTAATTTTAATCCAAGTATTTTTTATCTAAAACTATAAACGTCGTGATCATACCCAAAAGAAAAATAACATGCTTAGAATTTAAAACCAAGCCAGAAAGAAAGAGTAGACAGATACAAGCAAGAAAAACGTGCAAAAATAATTGAATAAAAAGGGCACTCTAAGTCACTATATACAAAGAATTTCTTTTTAATATTTTTGATTGATTTTCTTAAGATTGATGTGTTATTTTAGGTTTTTGGTCGATATATATATATTTTTTTTTTAATTTTAAAGTTACGAATTTTTTTCGGCGACTTACTTGCGTACAAATTTATTGGATCCACACCTGCAGAAAAATATGTGGTATATTCGGACGTAGTCGAGATTTTAACGTGTAATTTGTAACAATAATTATTTTTTTTTAATAATTAAACAAAAACGTTACACAATTAACTAAATTAATTCGAAAAAATTTAAATCAAGCAGATACAACTCTCGTTTACGAAACCGGATATGAAAATTTATATACTAGAAACACTAAAAAGAATAAACACCGAATATTATTATTAAAGAAAAATAAATAAATTAATAAATATGCAGGTGTTTAAAAAAATAGAGTGCTTAATTTAATTATGATTTTAATGTTCCAGATACACTTCTATTTTTGAGACACCTGCATAAATAAAAACCAGACTAAAACACCAATTATTAGAGCGAAGAGTGGAATATTTGTGTTTTTTACAAAAACAAAATAATAAAATAAAACGAAAAATGTTTGTTTTTTGGTCGTTTTAAAGTTTTTAAAAGAAAATGTTTTGGAATGTTAATGTGTGTGTTATTGTTACTTCTTATTGATACGTACTTGTTCTTCCGACCATTTGAATTGCTCTCACACCTTTCCTGAAGGTCGCCACTGCCATTAACCAGACAAAAAGAGAGTTAGTCGCGACCGAAAATTTATTTTTCTCAATTTCGACCACAAGACAAACAAAAATTATATTTTTAACAACTTATTATAAGAACATCTATGTTTGACCATTTTCTTTCATTAAAAACTTTCCTTAGTTTTTAACAAATAAAAATAGATGATGTTAAGACATTCTTAAACCCTGGGCAATATCAAAAAAAAATCAACAACAATATTTACCTTTTCTTACTAAATCGGTGTTTATTAAATTGCTAAAAAGAGGGGTATTTTTTTAATCAAAAAAAACCTACCTAAATATTCCAGTTATTCGCGTCTGATTTTTTGCTCAAAATTAGCTTTCATTTAAGGATTGTTTATTTATCGGGAATTTCATATAACACGCAATATATGAATGCAGTAAACTACTATGCACTTACACTGTCCCACATAAAATGTAACATCGCTTAATAGTATGTACAGGCATTGAGTAGTTTTGCAAAGGAAAAGTTTTGCTTGGAAAAGGTGACGTCCTTATGATAACTCTGAGTTTACGTCTTAAAAGACGCACGGCTAAACCCGAAACATTCTAGGTCTAGTGTTAGTCCTAATTTTACACCAGCACTGTTATTAGAACTAACATTAGACCTAAAACTAGAAACATTTGGGTTTAGCCGTACTTTTTTAAGAGAGCTAAACCCGAATGTTTCTAGGTATAGTGTTAGTTCTAGTTTTACACTTCCACTGTCACTAGAATTAACATTAGATCCAGAAATATTTGGGTTGCATAACAATTAAAAGACTGAAGTCTGAAGACGTACGGCTAAACCCTAATGTTTCTAGTTCTAGGTCTAGTGTTAGTTCTAGTGCTAGTATTAGTTTAGTTTTATCGAGGTTTTCGACCCATCAGCCTAACGTCATTTCTGCTGAAAACCCTTGAAAAAGTTCTGGAACGGTATATCCGTACGGTGCCATTGGTATCTGGTCCACTGAGTCGCCACCAGTATGCTTATCAAGCGGGAAAATCAGCAGAATTGGCTCTACACAACTTAGTTGGTAGAGTATCCAGGACGCTGCAGGATAAAGAAATCTTGGTTTGTGCGTTTCTGGATATAGAGGGAGCGTTCAACAACGCAATACCACAATCTCTTGAAAGAGCTGCTCTTGACAGGGGAGTGGAAGCAACTATAGCGGGTTGGATCCGCAATATGCTAGATAGTAGAATAGTTTCTACTTCACTCCACGGTGATACGATACGCTTCAGGCCGGGAGGTGGCTGCCCGCAGGGAGGGGTGTTATCTCCCCTGCTTTGGTCCCTCCTAGTTGACGATCTGATTGCGATAGTCGAAGCCGTTGGTGTGGAAATACAAGCTTATGCTGATGACATTGTCGTTATGGTCAAAGGAACCTGTTTGCCGAGGATATCTAAAGTCCTCCAGGTGACCCTAGATACCATTTGCGCTTGGTGTAAGGGAGAGAACCTCTCAATAAACCCGCAAAAGACAATTGTTGTGCCCTTCACCAGGAAGCGAAAGTTGGATGGACTAATCCGCCCAACTATCCAAGGTGAAGAAATTCCTTTCTCAAAGGAAGTCAAATATCTAGGAGTAATCCTAGACAAAACCCTGTCATGGAATGGACATTTGCAGGGAGTTTTGCACAAAGCTAGACTATCCTTGTGGACTTGTCGCAGTCTTTGTGGAAAAAATTGGGGTCTTACCCCTGAAAGACTGTACTGGCTCTATGTGACTGTGGTTAGACCTATGATCACATACGGAGCAGCAGCCTGGTATAGGAAAGTCCGACAGACTTCAGTTATCAGTAAACTTTCACGAATTCAACGAGTAGCTGGATTGGCAATCTCTGGTGCGATAGGCACAACGCCAACTCTAGCAATGGAGGTTCTGCTTGGCCTATCTCCTCTGCATTTGCATATAGAGAAAGTGGCTAGAACAACCATTTACAGATTTAAGCAATATGCTCAAAACTGTTCCGACATGTCCTACCAATGGGCTGCGGAAGACATTATAAGCACTGATACTGTGCTATCAATGCCGTCAGATTTGGCGGTATCACTATCAGTGATTAATGCTCGATACCAGATTGTACTGCCTGAGCGGCAGTCCTGGATCGAAAATGAAAATTCTCTGGTTCGGGCAGACATTTGCTTGTACACAGATGGATCAAAAACGCCTGAAGGGGTAGGAGCAGGAGTATACTGCCAGACACCTCGAATTAAGCAAGCCTACAGCCTGGGTACGTACTGTACTGTATTCCAGGCGGAAGTATTTGCTATTGACATGGGTGCTAAAATCCTTCTTGAAAGAGGGGTGAAGAACATGACAGTACGAATTTTCTCAGACAGTCAAGCCGCTCTCCAGGCGCTGCAAGCCGTGAAAACGGTGTCGGCTCTGGTTAATGATTGTAAGAGAACATTAAACACACTGAGTTGTGATAACAGAGTCTCTCTGATCTGGGTCCCGGGTCACTCTGGTGTTGCTGGCAATGAAGCGGCAGATAAGCTAGCACGAGATGGCAGCGCTGAAGCGTTTGTGGGACCGGAACCAGCAGTTGGTGTATCATTTGCGATGGCCAAATATAGGATTGGACTGTGGGCTGAAGAGAGACTTCGCCTACTGTGGACCAGTTCTCCTGGAATGAGACATGCTAAGGTGTTTATTAACATCGCCACTGTCAAACCCGGGAATATTTTAGGACTTGCCCGTAGTAGCATAAAAGTTCTAATGGGTGTTTTTACTGGGCACTGCCGATTAAAAGCACACCTCAACTTGTTGGGTTTAGCCGACGATGTTGAATGCCGACTATGTGCGGAGGAAGCAGAGACGGTTGAGCATGTTTTATGCCACTGCCCTGCCGTTAACCGTATCAGATTCTCGATTTTTGGGTCGCAGTTTATCTCCTCAAAAGATCTGAATGACCTTTCGCCGAGCAAGGTATTAATGTTCGTTAAGAGCATTGGACTGCTCGGTGAAATTTGATAACGATATCTCTCGGCGTACAATAGATCCTTAGGGTCGCGGTGCAAGGTTGGTTGGTCCGCCTACCCGATATGTATTTTATGTAATGTAATGTAATGTAGATCCAGAAATATTTGGGTTGCATAACAATTAAAAGACTGAAGTCTGAAGACGTACGGCTAAACCCGAAAGTTTCTAGTTCTAGGTCTAGTGTTAGTTCTAGTGCTAGTATTAGTCTAGTTTTATTTAAATTCTAAATGTTCTAAATTGTTGTATGTTTTTATTGAACACTACGTTCCCCGTATTGATCCGTTATATCGAGGTTTTACTCTAATGTCAAATAATATGCATGTTATGTGAGACAAAGTAAGTAGGTACGCTCTGGTTTCTATGAAAATATATTTGAGTATATTGCATCTTAAGTGAAATTCACTGTATAGTTAATAAATAAAATTTAAATTAGCGATTAGTAACCANTCAAAAGATCTGAATGACCTTTCGCCGAGCAAGGTATTAATGTTCGTTAAGAGCATTGGACTGCACGGTGAAATTTGATAACGATATCTATCGGGGTACAATAGATCCTTAGGGTCGCGGTGCAAGGTTGGTTGGTCCGCCTACCCGATATGTATTTGGGTTGCATAACAATTAAAAGACTGAAGTCTGAAGACGTACGGCTAAACCCGAATGTTTCTAGTTGTAGGTCTAGTGCTAGTTCTAGTGCTAGTATTATTCTAGTTTTATTTAAATTCTAAATCTTCTAAATTGTTGTATATTTTTATTGAACACTGCGTTCCCCGCATTGATCCGTTATATCGAGGTTTTACTGTAACGTCAAATAATATGCATGTTATGTGAGACAAAGTAAGTAGCTCTGGTTTCTATGAAAATATATTTGAGTATATTGCATCTTAAGTGAAATTCACTGTATAGTTAATAAATAAAATTTAAATTAGCGATTAGTAACCACAGCTAAAAAAAGTACATTGATGCGCAAGCAATTTAATTTATTTTTTTTGTTAGTAAGAAAATAATTTTGTTAGCTTCAAAAATAAATTAAGTAAAAAAAAATTAAAAACTAAAAGAAACGAAAAAAGCGAGCTTAAAATGTAAAAATTAGACGTATTTTTTAGTCTAAAATGGGGGCCGTACCCTCCATATATCTGTAATATGTGGTATTAAATCCTGTTTTCATCATGCCAGTTTGCATCATGATCATTCCGACATCTGGAAATAAAGCAGAATGAGGAGGGCGGATGACGCCAAGATTAAAAATGTACAACAAAATAAAAATAATAAAATGAATTTGTTAATAAAATAAATGTTTAATAAAATGATAAAAAGGGGATAAAGTTAAATGTTTGCAGCCCAGGGTTAAGCTATTTTCGATGTTCATCAGCACTTTATACTTACATTTATTATTTTTAAAGACAATTTCTCATCGTTTTTTTCTATTAATCAATCAAATAAAGATTTATAATAAAATTGATGAATTTATAAAATCTTTATTGGATTTATTATTGTTCATGTATCGAGGAGATTAGATTTAAAAATAAAGAAATAATAAAGATAAAGGATAAGTTGTCGAGGGGTTGAGGGGATAAACGAAACATGCAAAAAGAGTTCTGTGCAAGTTTGGGGGACAATAAAAAACTTATATACGTGTGTGATACATTCCGTAAGAAAAAATACAAGAAACATAGTCATTCACCTTCTGTTCCAAAACGTTTCTTGTAGGTAATTTTTATATGTATATATTTTGGTAACTTTTCAATGTTTATTTTGTTTGTAAATACTTGGAATTAAGAAATAAAGTAGAACTAAAAATAAAAGAAACCTTAAACCAATTCAAAAAGACACATTTGAATTTTTGTTGCAGGAAACAAAGTAACTAAGAAGATTTCAAGACAGCTTTAGAAGTCGGAGTTATTCGAAAAATACAGATATCGCGGTTATTTAATTTAATGCAGGTGCCTCGAGTCTATCACCGTCTTCTTCAACTCATTACACTCTACCAGCAGATGATTTAAA